TTTAAAATTTTACATTCCTCAAAAATTCAGTGGGCTGAAAGCCAAATTTTTTTATTTTGTATATCATGGTAGGTACCTATAACTAACCTATGTCCGTAATGTCCGTCAAGAAATGAGAAAGTTGTGGACTTTTATTTTTGACTTGAGATTGTCATAATTTGAATTGCGATGAAAGAGTGTACCTAGTATCTTATTGTCTTAAAACTTACGTCATTCTCGATTTCATTTGGAAAATATTCAAACTCCTCATATAGTCATCTTTTTTCTTTTTTGCGGGAGGAGACAGTTCATCGCAGTCAAATTGAGAAGACATACCATACTGTTTTCTCATTCATAATTTGCATTAAAATTTTGTTAGTTTTATTTTAGTTTCACATCTTTCGGTGGTGTTCCTCCACCTGTTAAGCTGACCTAAAAGTAATATACCGGGTGACAACGAAATCGTTATACAAGGCGTCATTCAGTTGTTTGAAAGTTAAAAATTTGAAAATTGTGTGGAATGGGTAGGTCATTGAGACGCACATTTTTCGTAAAAAAACAATTGAATATCACTTCTGGTTTTTCCGGAAATGGAACCAAGTCGAGAAACTTTTATGGAACCCTATATATTTTCTTACACAGTTGGATAGAGCTTGAAATTCCCTTTTCAATGACATATCACAAGTTTCATTTGTTTTCAAGATGGCGGTGTGAAAAGGTACTTTCTCAAATTCAATATGGTGGCATTCTGAAGTAACCGACAAATGAATATGCATTTTAGTAGACACTTTTCGGTAGGCCATTGTTGGACACACTTTAATTCTAGGATTTAATGAATACCTAACTCTTCCTATTCAAAATTTTTAAAAAATTTGAATCAAAAATTTGCATTTCAAAGAAATTTTAAAATGCCCTTGTTTTTGAACAAAACCATTTTTTTTTTCCAAATTCGATCTAAAACCTTTCCAAATTCAAAAATTATGAATTGTTCAAACCTCGGTTCAAACTGTTTGTTTAACAGAAACATTATCGATTACGTCAGAATGCCGCCATATTGAATTTAAGAAGAATACCTTTTTACGTTGCCATCTTGGAAACAACTGCAACTTGTGATATGTCATTGAAAAGGGAATTTCAAGCTCTATTCAACTGTATAAAAAATAATAGGGTTCCATAAAAATTTCTTGATTTGGTTCCATTTCCGGAGTAACCGGAAGTGATATTCAATTGTTTTTTTACGAAAAATGTGCGTCTCAATGACTTACCCGTTCTCCCCAATTTCCATTTTTTTAACTTTAAAGACAACTGAATGAGGCCTTGTATAACGATTTTGTTGTCACCCGGTATATCGAGCTGGGATATCTATCTTATGGAGACCAATAAAACTGCCCCTGCAGTGAAGTGAAACGGTTATAAATACCTTGAATATAATACCAATGAGAACTCCTTTTGCCTTGGGCGTACACAAGTTTTTTACCTAGGTTTACCTGTTGTTTATTTTCAGCATGCAGGGGTAAATCGTGAGATCTCATGATTTTGTATCGAATCTCACGATCTCACGATATGTCCCAAGAATTTCACGATATTTTTAACTTTTGGCGGGTTTTGGTCAAATATAAGAGTTTTTAATTGCAAATTTATTCTAGTAGATAAAGAATTCTGTTGACAGAAATATGAGAATAAATTATGTATAATTTAGAATAAAAATCAGTAATTCTCTGGTACGACGTTGATACACAACACTGCAACGGGAGATGGCACTATTGTAGCACGAGGCAAGTGGTCGGTATTTTTTAGCAGCCGTGGGGAATCACCAGGAATTCGTATTTATTCGATATCGTGTTTTTTATTATTTATTTATGTTTAAATAATAATTATAAGAAACTGTTGTTATTTTCGAATTTATCTCGTGCAATTTGTAAAAAAAAAAATTTCTACGAGCGTGCGGAAAAGTTACTTTTCCGCACGATTTTTCGTTTCGAAAGTTGTACTTTTCCGCACCGTTATTTGTGTAACTGCAATCTCGTGCGAAAAAGTACCACTTTCCGCACTTGTTAGGTAAATAACTAGAACATATTTTTTTTATAAACAAATTGCACGTCAGAAGTGAAAATATAATGCCACTAGATGTCGCCACAAACGTTTTACAAGGCGAATTCTTTTCAAATTGATGCGTTTCAGTTGTCTCACGATTTCCCACGATTTTTGGCGACCAATCTTACGAATTCCTAGTAAAACAATCTGGCACCACTGTCAGCAAGTTTCTTCCTCAATTCCTTTTTTTTATTTTCGTACAGCCTTTTTAACTGCTCCACGGTCCTATAACATAGTATAGGTGCAGTGCTGTTGAATTGTTCAGCAACTCGCTTCCGCTTCCCAGGTTCAGACTTTTCAACATTTGAAACTTTGTCTTTTTGTCTTCGATGATATTGGTGAAATTAGAAATTATCCTCATGAGAGTCTGCCTTTCTCGCGGGGAAAAGTTGGGAATTCTTTTTTTGTTTTCATCAGTCATCATTTTAATATTTTGCCAAAATAAGAATAACGTAAAAATCGAAATTCGAAACTGACAAATTTTAACGTTAAAAGACCTCAAAAGTTTTAAAACCTCTTGGGCTGCCAATGTTTGACAGCGACCACTCCGGATTCGTTAATCCGCTAACGGTGCACAGCTATGGGCCAAAAATTACAAAAACGAGATGGGGGAACTAGGATTAGAAACAATAGACGGTGCATTGAGGCGTTCTGTATTTCAGATTATATAACAGAGTGATTTTTTTTTGGAACATTGTATTTCTAATGATTTTATATTATTCTTTTGACTTCTTTTAATAGAATTAAGTAATTATTGTGAATGCTATATGCGTGAATAAAATTTGAATTTGAATTTGAATCATATGAAAGCTGCTCAAAATTTCACGTAGAATCCAAATATACAATCAAGATGTCTTATTAAAAAAAACCCTAATTGAGCTCAAAAATATTTTCCGAAAATAGAATCTCACGACCAGTATAGGTTGACATATAAAAAAAAAATATGAACGAACTTCTTAACCTTATTAGTTTAGGACTTATAGACCGACGCGCGCTTACCTGCAGACCCTGTATGTAGACAATAATTAATTGAAAATTGTATTGATCGCTTATTACGACCGGAATATAGCCATGTTGACTCTAGTTGTTCTAACATAATGCTATCTGACCATGTCCGTCATGTTTTTTATTAGATAAACAATTGATTGGAAAATTTCCAGCTGTCATGAAACTCTTTCATCGCGATTAATTTTCAACACATTCGAAGGTGCGTGGGCGTAGCTTATCCCGCTACTTCACTTGCTGACTCGAGACACCCGAGTATAGTTATATACATCACAAATACAAGCCCTTATTGAATTTTCAGCATTCATGAAACTCTTGCATTTTTTTGGCGCTGGGTCTCGGACTATAGGAATAACAATCAGAACAGACTTGAAATGGGAACAACTCATCACTTGAAATGACAAAAAAAGTCCATTCACTAATCTACCTCATTCAAAAATCTTTCTAAAGAAATGGTTCTAAAGCTCTACAAAACTTAGGTAAGACCACACAGCTCGAATACGCCCATTCCATCTGGAACCTATATTACATCAAAGACATTGAACTGATTGAGAGAGTACAGCGCTGTATTACAAGGATAAAGGATACCTGATGAACTCAAAGAGTTACCCTATGAGAGCCGCCTTAACCAACTAAACCTAACTACATTGAAAGAAAGAAGAGGGGAGACCTTATTGAAACTTTCAAAATACTGAATGGTCACTATGCATGTGATATTAGGTGTTTCTGCAGAAATCACAAACCAGTCAGAGTGAATTTCATTGGTTGAAACTAGTTTTCTGACTGTTTTCAACTAATGAAATTCGCTCTGACTGGTTTGTGATTTCAGCAGAAACAAGACCTATTACCATTGATATTACCTTCTATCTCGCCACCAATACCAGCGGACACAACTAAAAACTCCAGCGGACATAACCAAAAACTTGAGAAGGAAAGATGTAACAAGTTACTAAGAAGAAATTTATTGACAAACAGATTGATTTATCAGTAGAATAGACTTAGTCATGATCATGAAACAATTAATGCAACATCAGTAAATCAATTTAAAAATCGTTTGGATCCAGAAATGAGGGGCTGGCACAATACGTTTGTGCATTATGGTGTTCAACTTGTGAACCCACTGTGCCGATCACTGATATCCATAATAATAATACCTTTGATACATCAAGTTATTAAGAATGTTATAAATGTATTTTGGTCAGACATAGAATTGCTTTACCTCTGGTATCAGATGGAGGACTTCAGTTTAATAAATAACGTGAACTAGAGATTAGGGAATTTGACCATATATTTAGTTCTCTACTGCACATTATGTGCACAATCTAATCCATGCTAACTAAATTCCTGAATGTGGGGTACATATGAAAAAAAAGGGTTGTCCCTTTTTCCAATATTATTTGTCGTCAATTCTATAAATTTCTGCTTCCCGGTTCCCAGTTTTTACATCAAGCAGCGTTTTCTCATTTTCTGCTAGCTAGAGATTTAATAGTGATATTAATTTTTTCACCAGTCCGCAGAAAAATCAAAAATAAATTTTCGGTACACATAAACCAGTCATAAATAGTAAACGATTTGAGAATCACAGCTGGTAACAGGTTATAGGGCACAAAATCCCATCCATAGCATTTGAAACTAAATTCTTGTTCCATCAAAAAAACCAAGCCCAAATTATACACAAGATTAAACTTATAGGAGGTTACTGTTTTGGAAGACATTACACAAAAAAATTAATATAGTAACCACCAAAAAAACGAAGAAAACATCATTTGTGAGTACTTGGTAATTCATGTTCATAAATCCTTACCAAGAAATATCTTTGTGTTACTATTTTTATGTTTATTACACAAACTTGGCACAGTGTGGTATAAAAACTTGCAAATGAAGAAATCTGGAAAGAAATATACAATAAATTAAGTACTTACTGGTTGAGTAACAGTAGTGGGTGTAACAGTGGGAACAGTTTTAGTAGAGTCTGACGAATCAGCAGAGACATTACTAGAATCCAAAATCTCATTGTCCTCAGCAAAAATAATAGGCAAATCCATAATATCTTGGTGCGACAAGTTAGTCGGTGCAGGCAAATTAGTTTTAATGGGCTGACGCAACGGAACCATCGGTTGCCCTTTTGTAGATGTTGCATTAGCAGTTTGTAATCTCCTGGTCGCTACCAAGTTGGTTCCTAGAAATAAGTTCATGAGTAGCAAAGTAATGGAACTTTGAAAAAACAGTTATTACGTTTCAATTGTTCTTTGAGGGCCGCAGACAAAAGAAATTGACCACCAGGAGCCGCTATCATCTGCTTGATCGGTCGACTGGCCGGTAATGGTCGATTTAGTGTAATTGGTCGTGTGGGTGTCGATGGTTGACTAGGCGGATTCGGTTGGCTGGATGTTATTGGCCGACTAGGCGTTATCGCTTTAACTTTTCCATCTGCCAGGCATACCATGTTGCTACCGGAAAGGGGACGTCGTAATTTCAATTGGGATATGTCAAAGGGACGAGCAGTGCGACCTGCTGCTGGGTTTAATATTAGCTTGGATGATCCTGGTTTGGCTAGTTGGACATTTTGCAGAACTGAAAATAAATGTTTGAACGTAAAAAGTATTTCAGTGAATAAATGCTTACTTTTCACTGTAGACGATGAAGGCGTCACAGGTTTTTGCACAGGAGATATCTTTATGCCGCCTTGTTGTAGAAGGTTCAACAACTGTCCACTAGGCATACCTAAAGACTGAGCCTGCATTCTTGCTGTGGGTGACAAAAAAATAATAGTATGATATATTATGCTGAAGAAATTTTAGACAAATGATAAACAATAAGAACTACGGCAACTGTTCCATCTAGTAGGCATATGAATAAACACAACTGTTCCACTTATAATTTGTATTATTTCAATTAAATGAGAACATCTTTTGAACTTATGAGAAGATATATCTAGCAACCTTGCGGGTTGTTTTCGGCAACATTATTTGGAATTTGGTTGATGTAATAATTGAAATATAAACTCAAGATTAACGTTAATGAAGTGCTACAGTTGCACTGTCTGCGGGACTTCTCAATGTGTACCTTGTATTTTAAAGATTTGTTTTTCTCTCCGTTCAGGCTTATTGTGAAGATGTGTATGTCTTTTATTCATTTTAAATTAATATAAGTTGCCTTATCAATGGATTTTTTTTTTAGTTGAAATCATTCCAATATTGTGTGTCTTGGCACTATCAAACTTCCTTTTTATTTTTTCAAAGTAAGTATATAACTTCAAAGCAGGCCGATGATAAACCGGTTATCAGTATATGCCTTCATTTAATTGAAATAGAAAAATTACATATGTTGGAAGAGATTGCTTTATCCAAATACCAAGCAAACTTGTCTTTGCTCAGACCAAATACAAATTTCCAAAAAATCCAAATATGCGATTGTCATTGGGGTCCTTGTCAAAGATTAGTTTGTTTACTAATATTTTTTATCTAATTTTGAAAAATAGCATGCAACTACCAAGTTCAAATTTCTTAAAAATAAAATAATTAAAACTAAGCCAAAACCACACCACAATTCCTGACCTGGTTCTTTGTTTCCTGGCTCACCGAAAACAATTTTCTGCGATTTCTCTGGTAAAATGGTGCGGATTTTACGTACCTCCTCAACCTTTTGAGGAAGATTATTAGGAGAAACTGGACTTTCAGTGGCAGAAATTGTTTCAGAGGATGAATTGGAACTATTATTTGGTGTGGTTACCAATTTAGTATTAGTTGTGGCAGTAGACGAGGGCAAGGCGACGAGACGGGGTACAGGATTTGAGGTGGTAGACGAGGAAGTACCTATAGTCGGTTGAGCTGTCCATTTCGAGTCGAGTTTGCATTTGGTTTTGCCTAACGGACGACCAACTAAAAGAACAAGAAGAATATATGTATTATTATTGTTGTTCTAAGCTTCCAATATTTTATTACCTGGTCTAGTGATTCTAGGTGTAGGCGATGGAGGCTCACTATCAAGAGAGCTAGTATTGGAATTATAACGTTTCCGCTCCATTTTGACTCTTTTTGAGGAAAAATCGGGAGTGTTGTTGGGAGATACTCTTTTCTGAGGTGGATATGGAGATAGAATCAAACCGCCTATAAAATCTCCAATTTCGTCCTAAATGAAATATTTATTAATAATTATTATCAAAACATATTAATAAACTAACAATAATACATCTGTCAACAATGCTCTGGGTAATCCCTTCTTGTTTTCTCTTTTTCTTACTAACTATGAGATTATTATCAGCAGAACCCACAACAATTAGTCCAGTTGTGATTCTCATTCGTTCTCTCAGATCTTCCATGTCTTCATGACTAAAAAAAAATTCAACAATTTTTCTAAAAACAAAAGGCACCTCTTACAATGCTGTACTGGAAGATTGACCAATCACAAATAGAACCGGACATTGCAATTCCAATAAGCTATCATCAGGTTCGCCTCGTTTTCCTTCAGCTGTCAGCATCGAGAAACCTAAACTGATAACGCAATAAACGGTTTCCACTTGGGCCATTTGCAGGGCTAAAGTTGCACCTACACCTATACCAACCTGAAGAAAGAATAAGGATATATCAAGACGTTTTTAAATTGTTTTCAATTCTTACCAAAATAATGTGCCTTCCAGGGTGATTGTCTCTTACATCTTGAATTCTTCCTCTTGTGATGGAAAACATCTGGTCAAGGTAATTGGTTATTGTGATTCTGAGATTTGTAGAGCCTAAAAAAAGTTGAAAATCACTTGATATTATCTGTTAAAGATCTTCAAGAAAGTCCTTACCAAAGTTTATGACAATAGGCACAACGGTACCCAAATGTGACAACAAATTCATCCATTTTTGATTTCTCTTAGTCATAAAAGGTGAATTAGGCATCAATACCAAAACTGGATTTGACGGTAACGTTTTCGGTTTATCTTGCATTAGACAGGCTTCGACTGGATCCCATCTTTTTTTGAGCAACGGTAACAAATTTTCGGTGGTCAGGTGCATGTTATGGATAGCGGAACTTGGTATACCTAGCATTTTATCGAAAATCCTGGGGATTTTTGATCTGAGAGTCTACAATAATTATTATGTTTTATTAAATAAAATCCTTGTAAAATTCTCTATTGGTCAACAACAGAAGGAAAAAAGGTAATAGACTGTGAGATAGCGTAAAGTTGAGTGGAGTATTTTTTTTTGAGCGATATCAATATCAATAAATGAGTGTGGTCTATTTATAAGGAAATAACAAGTAATTCAAATGTAGACACAAAATTCAAGAAAATCCTGGATTCATGGTCAGTGAAAAAGAAATATTAGTAACGAAAAAAATTAAAAATAAACACAGCAGTGGTGATGATGGAATACCCACAAGTGTCATGAGATCATTCCACCCATCGTAGAGGTAGTTTCCTTTGTAATAAATATAACTCACTCAAAGAGGGCGTGTTTACTGAGAATTTAAAGTTGTAAAAATAAGGCCATGTTACAAGAACAAAGGTGGTCCTAACTTGTCAGATAACTACAGACCCATTAGTCTCCTTCCAGAATTCTCAAAGTATTGTCATGAGCAAGCAGTTGATGGGTTTTATGACGGAGTGTGGGATTCTTTCAGGAAACTAACATGGGTATATGGAAGGAAAATCCACTAAAACAGTTGGGATTTTGACTTTTAAGACACCTGACACCTGGAGGACAGCGACATGGCCCTGGACTATTTTTAGACCTCCTATCAAAAGCGTTTGATTGCTTGAAGAGTATACTTCTCAAGAAATTAGAAATCTACGGTATTAGGGGGCGCGCTCTCGAGTGGTTTCGGTCATTGAGACACTAGAAGCAGAGAAAGGGGTAAGATATTTTTTGACTTGGTAACTGTGTATGTATATGAACATCTAATCTGGCAATATGATTCAAATGATCGGGTTTCGATCACGTTTCTAAGTACTGCAATGAGGAACAATGCTATGCAAACTGTGGAGCAGACCATCCAATAGCCGACTGAGAAGAAGCAAATCTCATATGCCCAAACTCTCAAAAAATGAATTAAAAAAAAGTGAACCATTCAGCCAGAGATCCAAATTGTCCAATATACTAGGGAAGACTTTCCAGGTATAGGAAGAATATAAATTGTGGTGATGATTTTTTATAGAGAATCAAAAAACAGGTCACAAACAAAGATCATAACACTTCAAATAAGATCTCTATTATACACCAGAATGTTCAATCATTAGAAAATGCAGTTGATCGAGTGAACGATTTGGTAAGAGAACATACAAACTGCAAATTTCTCTGCATTACAGAGCACTGGAGACGAGGGGCAAACCGCTGACAGTATTTTGGTGTACACTAGCATGGTATTTTTGGTAATATTTTGCTATTTTTGGTATTTTTCAATAATATTTGGTATTATTTGGAAATATTTGGTATTTTCTTTGGTATTATTGGTATTTTTTTTGGTATTATTGGTATTTTTTGGTAATATTGTGGAATTTTCTGGATGATTATTCAGTATACGCATGCGCAGTTACGTCTACTTGAAAGTTTGAGGGAACTGTGGCAACGTCGCGACCCTGCCTCTTGAACTTCAAATGCTTTACAATTTAACATAAACAGAGATGAAGTAGTGTGGCCTCACGTGTTGCTGTAAAGAAAGTTGGAAGCGAGCATTATTACACTGTTCGTTATGAAGAGAATTGGTTTGTCGGCAGAATCCTACAGAGAGTTGACAAATCTAAATTTAAAATGAAATTTCTCAAAATTGAATTGGGGTCCTATACGGGGTGTCCGTTTTAAGTGATACCACTATTGCTATCTTCGAAACGGTAAGAGATACGAGGTCGGTTAAATTAGAAAAAAGTTGCCTTTTTTGATGCCCATTCAAGACTCGTTTACAATGTTGCCGAATTCCTTTTAGTTTATGAAATACAGGGTGATTTCTAAGAAACGCCTAAAACTATTTCATCAATTATTTTGAAAACTATTGACTTTCGGGACACAATTTAAATTTGAAAGTTTTATAATTTTTATCGCTTCACAACATGGCATCTTCAAATTTCCAATCCGACGTTTCGTGATCAAGCTACCATCATCAACTTCATTTTTTCAAATACGGACCTGGATTTTTTATGTCATTTTTAAAAAGCGCACTTTATTCTTTTTCTAACGATATACCTCTTAAGTATGATTGGCCGACGTTTCTGCTCGAAAAGGTGACCATCAGTGATTTTTACCAAAATTTTACCTTGATTAGGCCCTGGAATTCGTCATTTATAACAAAGACGGTCTAACAAGTACTATTTTCCTTTATTTTGAGTACATATTTACAATAATAATTAGTTTCTAAGTCATTATTCTCGATATTGTTCATAATTAGATAATTCTAAAGAAAATAGTACTTGTTAGACCACCTTTGTTACAAATAACGAATTGCAGGGCCGAATTAAGGAAAAATTCTGGTAAAAATGACTGATGATCATGATCACCTTTAAAAGCAGAAACGTCGGCCAATCATACTTAAGAGGTATATCGTTAAAAAGGGAATAAAGGGAGCTTTCTAAAAATGTCATAAAAAATCCAGGTCCGTATTTAAAAAAATGAAGTTGATGATGGTAGCTCGATCACGAAACGTCGGATTTGAAATTTGAAGATGCCATGTTGTAAAAATTATAAAACTTTCAAATTTAAATTGTGTCCCGAAAATCAATGGTTTTCAAAATAATTGATGAAATAGTTTTAGACGTTTCTTAGAAATCACCCTGTATTTCCTAAACTAAAAGGAATTCGGCAACATTGTAAACGAGTCTTGAATGGGCATCAAAAAAGGCAACTTTTTTCTAATTTGACCGACCTCATATCTCTTACCGTTTCCGAGATAGCAATAGTGGTATCACTTAAAACGGACACCCTGTATATTTTTTTTTTACCCCCTTAATATATTTTTTTTCGCCTAGAGGAATTGTACTAAAATAGTTATTTTCCTAACAAGTGCGCAAAGTGTTACTTTTCCGCACGCAAACACAGTTATACGAACGACGCGAAGCGGAGTTCGGATACGTGTTTGCGTGCGGAAAAGACACTTTGCGCACGTGTTAGGAACAACATTTTTCCTACGAGCTTCATATCAGGTAGGTAATAACAAAAATTAAAAAAAAAAAAACGATAATTTGTTTAATTATTTTTAATTAACTTGAAAGGAACCTATGCATTTATCAAAAAATTACATAACAGAAACAAATAACAGAAAGTCCTCGTCAGAGCTGTTCATCTTAAAGCGTTTAAATTTGATGAGAAAGTTTATAGATTTTTGCATATAAATAGAGAACAAATCTGATGGGTCAAAGTTAATTTATAATTGGTGTTTGTATAGATGTTGGCTGATATAGAAATAGAGGAAAAATTTGTCATCATGTGTCAAAGTCGACAGGTGCACTTATTGTTGCTTGACAATTATAATTACTTTTCGGCACTCAGTGCGGATAAGGCCTGTATCCGCACTGAGTGCGGAAAAGTGTAACTTTGAGCCCGGAAATGCGTGCGGAAAAGTACTACTTTGCGCACGCTCGTAGGAAAAATGCTTTTGGTGTCTATGCATTTATGTCGGAGATGTGTACAATAGGTATTTTCCGCGCCCGAGTGCCGGAAATTTCTTCCCGCAAGAGTTAGAAACTATATTTTTTCTACGAGCCTACTAAAGCTGATGTTACGAAGAGTTTAATTTAAATAATATGCGATTATGCAGAAGGTAGAATTAAAAATGTATTGAAAGGTATTTATAAAAAGGTAAAGGTACAGGTATAGGTGTATCAACAATACAAACAATTCCATGTCACAATGATTATTTCAAACTCTTCCCGCACTGAGTGCGGGAAGAAATCTCTTCCCGCACCGATGCGGGAAGAAAGTCTTCCCGCACAGCAAATCGTGCGGGAAGAGCCATTTCCCGCACGCTCGTAGAAAAAATAATATTTGAACCATTCACATGAAGGGCATTGTGTGCGAGAAAATAAAAAAAAAGACATTTTTTTCTCAAATTTTATTTTTTTTCGGGTGTAATAGGTAGAAAATAGGGGTGCACTATACGAATTTTTCAATATCATTCCCACATCAATAATCCCTGAAAATTTGAACAGCCTAGCATTAGCCCTCCAGATGATATGAAAGAGGGTTGTTTAAATTTCAACACCCCGTATATCTTAAACGGGTAACTGTTTTTAAATAAAACATATACCAAAAAATCGGCCAATTATTTATAAGTATTTGCTGTTTGGTTTGTGGTGGATTTGCTTTACTGTTCAGTAAAAAAATAATAATTCCCAAAACATCTTTTTTCAAGGTCATTCAACTTTAGAGCGCCACTCCGAATAAAGGGTAGGTGATAGACTTATGCTGACGCTGAATAAATTGTAGAGAATTTAGTCCCCTTTAATTTACTATCGAAGTATTTTCTTGTAAAACGTAGCGGAAGCGGGATGGAGGGGGATGTTCCAGGGTGAAAGTTTGTTGCAAAAAGTTAGACCCATAATAAGCAGCCCTTGTTCTACCAGAAAAAAAATAAAACAGAACTTGTGTCGAGTTTGCGAGGTTCAACCTCTCTTTCCTGGCCTATTAGACTATCAGGTATATCTTTATGCAACCAGGTATCAAAAATTAATACAAAAGTTGGGCTAATTTTCTGTATTTGTGCAATGAATTAAGTATCTTTGTGTTGATATTAGAGAGCATAAGCTTGTATATATTTATAACAAACTGCTTGATGTCTTCTACAATTACAGAATACGTGGGATAGCGCACAAACTGTGCTGCCCCTAACAACACAAACAAACAAACCCAAAAATTGTTGAGGATCAGACTATCAAGGAAACCGCTTCTACAAAATATTTGGGGATCATAATTGACAAGTTTGTTAAATGGCAACCTCAAATTGAATATCTATCTAACAGAATACGGAAATTTATACACAAATTTTACTTATTGAGAGAATTTTTAAATAGAAAACATTTGATGATGGTGTATAAAGCCTTCATCAAATCCATTATCAGGTATGGTTATCCATTTCTGAGATCCCGAAAATAAGTATA